GTGCCAAAGAAAAATTCTTTCTTTTCACCTGAATGTTCTGTAAAGTAATTGATTATTTTCACCTTATAGAAAAGGAGAATCATAGTTCCATTACTTAAAAGCCTTCTTTCGGTAATGCTTTAGTGAAATTAGTACCATCATAAGGTGTGGTCTTGAACATGCCTACAGATGTGCCATGGAAAGGATTTGTTTGGTAAAGCTTAAAAGACTTTCACAAAGTTGGGAAAATTATGTAGGCAAGCCCAGACACATAATGTGTCCTAATATATCTTCCAGATAACCATTGGAAGTTTATTTTGCTCCTAATTTTTCTCAAAGTCTAATGCTGTCTCTAAAAGAAATGGTTCATTCAAAATATTTGCATTATTTTTTTATTACTATTTTATTGAAGTATAACCAGAAAAATCATTAAAGATTTACAAGTGATAAAATAGGGTTTTCTATTATTTGGTTATAGGAAATGATAACTGAAGCTTCTTTTTACCTGTTTAATGCTACCAAGAGAAGAGTGTTTTTCAGAAATATAAAAATTTTAACACTTGCCACATGGAAAGCTAATAATTAGAGCAAAGTAAAACAAGAATCATATGAAAAAGTAAGAAGTCAGAATTTCATTAAAGCAGCTTAAATCAAGGGAAAAGAACAAACAAGATTTACTGTGTTCAATCTTTAAAAGTGAGAACTAAGCAAAACAAACCATTGATATTAATATACTAATGATATTATTGGGAAGATTGTTATTCACAAAATATATGAAAATATAATAAATGAGTATAAATTATGAAGTAAAAATAAGCAAAATGTCATTGCCCAGTTAGCCTCTCCGAAGAACTCTTTTCCTTTGTAACTTACAAAATCCTTCCTGAAATTTTTGGTTAAGGACCAAAAACTGGTTTTATCTACTGAGTATGAGCTGTAAAGAAAATAATCACAATTATGACTATCTTCATTTCCCATCCTGTCAGGCACAGTAAACATGCATGTCCGGACAGAAACATAAGCCTTCCACACTTATAAAAATATGGCTGTCTTCTCTTGCCAGAGTATAAATTAGTAGAATTTCACATTATGCCCAGTCCAGGACACTATTTCTGAGGAGTATGTTGATCAGAAGGAAGGCAGTGAGTGGGGAGGAATGGAGTGGCTACCTTTTCTTTTCCATGCAAAAGACAACCTTCAAAGGATTCTCATAAGCTGTAGATCAAGTTAAACATTCATGATACTCTCTGGCGCATACTGATATGCCTGCTATATACAAATGTTAAATAATTTTGGCAAATAACTGTTTCAAGCTACACTGAACAAGAGCCTCAGCAGCTACCAGTAGGAGCAGAAATAGAGGCATTGAGAACATAGCTCAGGGCTTCAGTAATGGGGTGGCTCAAGATCTGTAACTACAGCTCAAATAGAAGGACTGGGACATGGGGTACAATTTCTCTTTTTCTTATTTGTGTCATTGGTATGAAATTTCCTAAGCCTGTTTTAATTCTTAGCTCTCCTTTGAAGTTACTCTCTCAGTAATGGAATGATATAGTAATCCAACAGGCGCCCCAGTAACCTGGAGAGTTTGCAGAGACTCTTAAAAGCATTTGATTTATGACCAGATGATAGCATTTGACAATGCTTCAGTATGGAGATGGGAGAGATAGAGGAACTGGGATAAACTGAGAAGAGAGCTACTGTTTTTTAAGCTTCAACTAAGTGCCAGGCATTCTACATGTATTTTTTAATTCCCTCACACACTAAAATTAGTTGCTGTTATCACAAATTGGGAAATCGAGGCTCAAATAAAGTTAAGAATTTTGTCCCAAGTCAAACAGCTAGTAAATTACAGAGCTGCAATTTAAATCCATGTCTATTTGGTGCCCAAAACCGTGTTCTCTGCACTAAGCTTCGTTGTCTCTAGCTATCTATATAGATTTTGTTAACCAATTTGGCCATCCGAGGAATGAAGAAGTATTAGAGATAACCAACCTCAAAACCAGGTAGTACTCCTGATCCTAATGAAGAACTTGATAAGTAAAGCAAAAATGAGAATATGACTGAACAGAAAGATTAAAGGAAAGAATAGTTATTGAAGGCTGTTCATATATCTGATGGATACCAACTTCTTTAACTTCATAATGCCAATTAAACAAACACGTAGTGAATAATCTTTATGTACAGATGCTATGCTAGGCACTGCAGAGGACTCAAGGACAAGCATGGTGATTCCTGACCCTGTGAACCTATAGTCTAATGTAGGTAGGAAGTGGGAGTGGAAGGGTGGGGGTGGGGAAGAAGTGTTCAGAAGAGTAGGTAAGAGGTGCATTACTATGGTCTCTGAGGTAGAATGTAACAGCCTAAGTATCCCGTCCCATGCAGAGCACTATTTCCCTTTTGCTTCAGGACAAATTTCCAGAAAAAAATTAGGTTTTGTCCATATGAAGACTATGTAAGCCCTTGGCTTGAATTTCTATCTTTCTAAAAATAAATGTTAATTACTATAAAAGTAATTCATGTTTGTTGCAAAAAAAGTCAAGCAATACCGAATTATGAAAAATAAAAGAAATATCTTCCTCTATTCAGCGGCGCGCGCGCGCGCACACACACTCACACACACACACACATATTACATACATAGTACATATAGCGATAATTACATATATACATGTATATATATTTACAGGATCATATTAGGTCTATTGTTCCAAAATCAGCTTAAAAGAAAACTTAAATACTTAACTTCTAAGAGCAAGTCCTGAGACAATGTAATATCTTTCTGCCTAAAAATAAAAGAAACAATGTTGTATATAAAATTATGTTCTATAGATGGTTGTTTGAATGAATATTTAGTTTGGACTTAAAATATTGTTTTAGCAATACTAATTGAATGGTCAAGGTACAAGATAAAATATAACTTCAATAGAATGATTGTTTTGCTGATCTATTGGTTATGGGAATAAAAGATAAGGCTATGAGAAACACATCCTATTGTTTTGCACTGATGAAATAACCATCGGAAAGTTGTTCACAAAAGGCTGTAATATTTTACAATACAGTTCTCAAGGATGTGTAAATGCTCTTAAAATTTATTCAAATATTTTTATTATATTTTATCCTGTTTTATAATGTCAGATTTTTATATTGTTGACATTTGGGAAAAATTTTGTTCTGACTAAATTTTATTATATAAAACTTTAAAGTTTTATATAACCATTCTGACAGATATGAAGTGATATCTCATTATGGCTTTGATTTGCATTTCTCTGCTTATTAGTATGTTGAGCATCTCTTTAGTGCCTGTTGGCCATCTGTATGTTTGAGGAAATGTTTATTCAGATCCTCTGCACAGTATTTAATTAGATTGTTTTTGTTATGCAGTTGTATGAGTTTTTAATATTTTTTTGATATTAACCACTTATTGAATACATGATTTGCAAATATATTATCCCATTCAGTAGGTTGCCTTTTGTTTAGTTGATGGTTTTCTTCTCTATACAGAAACTTTTCTGTTTGATATAGTTCCATTTGTTTATTTTTGCTTTTGTTGCCCTTGCCTTTGGAGTCAGATCCAAAAAGAAAATAACAAAAACAAACAAACAAAAAAAACACTGCTAAGACCAATAGCAAGGAGCTTACCACCTGTTTTTGTCTAGTTTTATAATTTCAGGGATTACATTCAAGTCTTTAACCCATTTTGAGTTCATTTTTTATGTGGTATAAGATAATGGTTCAGTTTAATTCTTTTGCAGGTAGCTATCCAGTTTCCCAGCATCATTATTGAAAAGACTGTCCTTTCTCTATTGTATATTCTTGCCTCCTTTGTCATATATTAATTGATCATATATGTGTGGATTACTTTCTGGGCTCTCTATTCTGTTCCATTGATCTATGTGTCTGTTTTTACAGCAATACCATACCGTTTTGATTATTATAGCTTTTAAGTGTAGTTAGATATTAGAAAGCATACTTCAGGCTTTGTTCTTTTTTCTCAAGACTGTTTTGGCTATTCAGAGTCTTCAGTTATTTCATGTAAATTTTAGAATTGTTTGTTCTAGTTCTGTGAAAAATGCTGCTGGATTTTTGATAGGGATTGCATTGAATCTGTAGATTACTTTGAATAGTATAGACATTATAACAATATTGATTCTTACAAACTGTGAGCACAAAATAGCTTTCCATTTATTTGTATCTTTTTAAATTTCTTTCATCAGTGTCCTATAGTTTTCAGTATACAGGTCTTTAACCTGTTTGGCTAATTTATTCCTAGGCATGTTATTCTTTTTGATGCTAATGTAAATGGAATTGTTTTCTTAATTTCTCTTTCTGATAGTTCATTGTTAGTGTGTAGAAATGCAACCAATTTTTGTAGAGTAATTTCATATCCTGCAGCTTTACTGAATTCATTTATTAGTGCTAACAATTTTATTTTTGGTAAAGACTTCACAGTTTTCTATATAAAGTGTCATGTCATTTACAAATAGTGATAATTTTACTTCTTCATTTCCTATTTGGATGACTTATTTTTCTTGCCTAAGTGCTCTGGTGAGGACTTCTTCCAATACTATATTGAATAAAATGGTGACACTGAGCATCTTTGTCTTGTTTCTGATCTTAGAGGAAAAACTTTAAAATTTTCACCACTGAGTATGATATTAGCTGTGCAAGCTTCTTGTATATGGCCTTTATTATGTTAAGGTATGTTTCCTCTATACCCATTTAATTGAGAGTTTTTGTCATAAATGGATGTTGAATTTTGTCAATGCTTTTTTTTTTTTTTTTGCATTTATTCTGATGATCATATGATTTTTATCTTCATGTTGTTATTGTGATATATAACATTGATTTATGGATGTTGAACCATCTTTGCATCCCTGGAATAAATCCCACTTGATCATGGTGCATGGTCCTTTAAATATATTGTTAAATTTGGTTTGCTAATATTTTGTTAAGAATTTTTGGATCTATGTTCATCAGGAATAATGGACTGTAATTTCTTTTTGTTTTATTTTGTTTTGTTTTGTTTTTGAATATGCAGTGTCCTTATCTGGTTTTGTTATCAGGGTAATGCTAGCCTCATAAAATGAATTTGGAAGCATTTTCTCCTTTTCAATTTTTTTGGAAGAGTTTGAGAAGGATCGGTATTAAATCTTTGAATGTTTGGTTAAGCTGTCTGGTCCTAGATTTTTCCTTTGTTCAGAGGGTTTTGCTTACTGATTCAATATCCTTTTAGTAAATGTTCTATTCAGATTTTCTATTTCTTCATGATTCAGTCTTGGAAGATTGTATGTTTCTAGAAATTTATCCATTTTTTTCTAGGTTGCCTAGTTTGTTGGAGTACAGTTGTTCATAATAGTCTCTTTCGATCCTTTGTATTTCTATGATATTCCTCGTAACTTCTCTTACATTTCTTATTTTATTTTTTTTGGTAAGTTTAGCTCAAGGTTTGTTAATTTCATTTATCTCTTTCAAGATGTTTCATTAATATTTCCTTTTTTTAGTTTTTATTTATTTATTTCCAGCTGATCTTTAATATTCTCTTCTTTCTACTAACTTTGGGCTTTGTTTGTTCTTTTTCTAGTTCTTTTAAGTGTAAGATTAGAAAGTTTGTATGAGATTTTTCTTGTTTCTTGAAGTAGGTTTGTATTGATGTGAACTTCCCTCTTAGAAACACTTTTGCTGCATCCCAGAGATTATTATATGTTATATTCCTGTTTCCATTCTCCTCTGGGTATTTTTTTCATTTCTTTTTTGAGTTTTTCAGTAATACAGTGGTTCTTCAGTAGCATGTTGTTTAATTTCCATATGTTTGTGTTTTTTACAATTTTCTTTTGTAATGGATTCCTAGATTTATACAGCATTGTGTTTGAAAAAGATGCTTGATATGATTTCAATATTCTTGAATTTATTAAGACTTGTTTTGTGGCTTAACATGACCTATCATGGAGAATGTTCCATGTGGACTTGAAGAAGAATGTGTATGATGCTTCTTTTGAATAGAATGTTCTGTTTATATCTATTAAGTTCATCTGATCTAAGTGCCCTTTAAGATTGATGTTTCCTTATTGATTTTCTGTCTGGGTATCCATCCATTGATGTAAATGGAGTGTTAAAGTCTCTCCTATTATTTCACACTGGCAATTTCTCCCTTTAGATATGTTAGTATTTTCTTTATATATTTTGGTGCTCCTATGTTGGGTGTATATATATTTACAAATGTTGCATCTTCTTGCTGGATTGACCTCTTTATCATTATGTAATGCCCTTCTTTGTCTTTTATTACAATCTTTGTTTTACAGTCTTTTTGTCATGTACGAGTATAGCTACCTCAGCTTTCTTTTGGTTTCCATTTGCATGAAACATCTTTTGCCATCCCTTCATTTTCAGTCTGTGTGTCTCCTTATATCTCAAGTGAGTTTCTTATAGGCAGCATATAAGTAGGTCTTGTTTATTTATACATTCATCCACCCAATGTCTTTTGACTGGAGAATTTAGTCTATTTACATTTAAATAATTATTGATTGATATGTACTTACTGCCACTTTGTTAATTTTTTTACAGGCTGTTTTGTGGTTTCTCTGTTCATTTTTTCTTCTTATGTTCTCTTCTCTGTGTTTTGATGACTTTATTTGGTATTATACTTACATTCCTTTCTCATTATCTTTTGTGTATCTACTATAGGTTTTTGGTGTTTGTGTGTGGTTACCATTAGGCCCTCATAGAACAGCATATATCTATAAAACAGTCTATTTTAAATTGGTAGTAAGTTAAGTTTGAATGCATTCTAAAACTACATTTTTACGCTTTTCACCATGTTTTATGTTTTCGATGTCACATTTTACAACTTTTTATTTTATGTATCCCTTAATTATTGTAGTTTTATTTTTACTATTTTTTCCTTTTAACTGCACAATAGCTTTATAAGTGATTAATCAACTATACATGCACTTTCACCAGTGATATTTTTACTTTTGTATATTTTCTTTTTATTAATTAGTGCCATTTATTTTCAGCTTAAAGAAATCCCTTTAACATTTCTTGTAAGGCTGAATTAGTGAATTACTTACAAGAAAAAAGCAGGCATGCTTGGATAACACAGACTGAGGAATAGGAAAGGTTTCTTTGCTTATTTGGTGTCTTAGTCCATTTGAGCTGCTCTAACAGAATACCATAGACTGGGTTGCTTATAAACAGCAGAAATTTCTCAGTGCTGGAGGCTGGAAGTCCAAGATGAAGGCACTGTCAGATTCAGTGTCTGGCGAGGGCCCATCTCCTGGTACATAAACAGTCATCTTCTCACTGTGTCCTCACCTGACAGAAAGAAGAAAGGAGATCTCTGGAGTCTCTTTTATAAGGTCACTAATCACATTATGAGGGCTCCACTCTCATGATCTAATCACCTCCCAAAGGCCCCCAACTCCTAATACCATCATTTTGGGAATTAAGATTTCAACATAGGCATTTAGGGGGGACATAAACATTCACTACATTATACTTAAATGTGATTCTTTCCTTTTCTCCAAATCCTGAAATTATAGGCCTATTGAAGCTAAACAGAAGGCTGTCTCTCTGTCTATCTGTCTAGTCATTTCTCATGTATACAGGCAGATCTGTAAATCTACTGAATAGCTCCCAAGAATTAGTGGGTCAAAGGGTACCCTCAGCTGTAATTTTGGTAGCTATTGACTGATTCCTCTCCTAAAGGTTATATTGTTTTTCACTCCCATTGACAGCATTTGAGATTATTTATTTAGAAAGGAATTATTTTAAATATCATCATTATATATTCATTCTCTACTTCCTCTAATGTTCAAGGGCAATGTGCTCAGAGATTCAGGATACTGCCAGTCATGCTCTTCCTTGGACCTCCAAAAGTTCATGTTGATTTCTTGGTAACTTTTACGTCAACTCTGTTTAGTTGTTAAAGCCCTTGGCAATACAGAACTCCTCATCAAGGTCAAATTCTTTAAAATAAAGTGGAGTACATTTCTAAATTGATGAACAATCTTAACAGAGTTCTTTAAAAAATGTTTTATGTGTGTCTAACAAGCTACGATCTTTGCAACTAATTATTATATGAGCTAGTGAAGAAAAAAAACACAAGTATATCTAAAATAGACTCAATTTTTCTTTCTATTTTTAGGTGGTCATCTGATATCACAAGCATGTTTGTGTGTAAAAAAAAGCCTTTGCCTCCAAGAAAATTGTATTTATTAGTAAGCTTTTCCAAGGATGCATATTTATATATAATAGCATCCAAAATGCAATTGCATCAATAATGTTCATGCAAAGTTTATCTTCTGTAAGTATTGCCTTGGAATGATAAACTACTACAAGATTTCATCTCTTCCCAAGATAGACTGATATGTTTTAAGTATTTAAACAGAAAGATAAGATTCGTTATGTTTTAGAGTTTGGGGGACGTTGGAGTTCATCTAGTTTTTATTTTACAGATTAAAAAAAAAGAAAACTGAGGACCCGAAGATGATCACTTAAAATAGATTCTTTTAGAAAAGGGATTATTTGCTTTCCAGGGATTATTTAACAAGGGGAGCCCTATAGATCTCAAAATAAATTGTTGTGTTCTTGTATCCTTTCATAAGAAAATATACTGGGTTAATGAGAGTGATACAGCACATGATGATATTTCTCTCATTTGAGAGTAATCCATTCTTATTTTAATTTCACTTTTTAATTCTTTTTCTCTTGTTTGCATAGTCTAGAACTTGAAAAGTCAGGTGCTACCAAGGGAAGTCAAGTAACCCTTAGCTTTGCTGGTTTAGAAACTCAACCTTGTTAGCATCCACACTAATTAACAAGAGACTATAAATACAGAACAAAAAGAATACTGTGTCATAAGCATCCAATACTTGCGTCCTCAGGCCAGTTCATTTTTTCTCTGAAGAACAGCCAAATTGTCACCAGAAGCCTGCTCTGAGAGCATGGGATCAGAAAGACGGGACTTTTAGGTGATGCAGAGGTTTAGCGGCATAAGCCTTCATGACTAGATATATCTATCTATCTCTACAAAAACCTAAAGGCCAAGTCTGTGAGCCACCTCTTCTCCACAGAGCTTGGAGCACTGTGAGCACATGCCTCTGTGAAGTTTTCTGCTTCCAGGGTTGACCAATGCCTCTTGGATTGACACATTCTTTCTTTAGATAATTTTTCTTCAGTCTAGTTTTAGTCAAGGGTAGGAGTCATTTTGTAACTTTGAAGCAATTTTTCATATATCTAGACCTGATTCATTATGTTTTAAATTTATAGCTTTAATGTCTGAAGTCAATCTAATTCCATGTATTTCATTCACATTGTTTGTAAGTAGGTGCTGTCTTTGTGACCCTTTGAAAGACCTGCTCATTAAATCCAGTCGGTTAAGCTTTACAATTCCTCAACCACAGTCATGAAACATTGAGAAAGGAATTAAAAACAAATAACAAAAACAAAAAAAAACAGGTTCTACTCCTGCGCTCCCATCCTACTAAGCAATTATTAACTCCCCTTAATCAATTATTAACCTTTTGAAGCTTCAGCTTCCTCTTCTACGAAATTAGAGATGAGACTAAGGGACTCTTCTAGCTCTAAGAACCCATGTTTCCATTAGCAGGAAGCATCTCCCTCTATATATATATGTTTTGTAGGAACATAGCCACTGTAAATAGATGGTAACACATTACTTCACAATGCAAAGTATACCTTTAAAAGGGGTGTTGACATAGGTTTAGTTTTATTAAATCAGTTATATCTACATTTCCAAATGGAGAGAAAGATCAGGAAGTAGATTTAAGTTGGTTTTCTCCTTATCCTGTTCTTAGAGAGATCAATATTTGAACTAGATCAATATATGTTGACTGATTAATAAAGGTGCAGTGGTCATTAAATATGATTTCAAGAAATAGGCTGACCAAAATAACATCTCTTGGGGTATTTTCTTTAACAAAATATCATGCTAAGGAAAATTGAAGATCGTTTTGTGGGTCTTTTTTGTGTTTGTTTCTATGTTTGTTTTTAAGACTAAGATTATATAGAGTCTGCTCTCTGTTATCCAAGTGAAAATAAGCTTTAATAGAGCTTAATCTCATGACCATAAGGTGCCAGTGTTGAAGTAAAGAGTGCCAAAGATTAGGTGTAAATTTGATGTCATTCTTGAAGTAAAGAAAGACATTGTTGTGCCACTGCTTTCCCATGTTTCAGCTCACTTTTCCTTTTACCTTTAGTTGCTTGAGAATGAGAAGTATGTCTAGTATGAAGGGAGAGCCTTTATTATCAAGTAGGCTTTGTTCTTTTTCTAGGTGGTTGAATTCTGTAATGCAAGCACCCACAACCAAGAAGCTTCAAACCTACAGAACTAAATGTGCAGACTCAGAAGTATATGGAATGTGATCTCAGACTCTGCTGACTTCAATAACAGCTTTCCCATAAATAGGGCTGACCTTCCACCTTCTCCCACATTCTCCCTTATACAGGCTGGCAAAAAAGTGGTGTTTAGTGCTGGATGTGCCCAGCAAGATGGCAGAGGTAACATTTTGAATCAAAATGGTTTTAAAATACTCATCATTTTTTTTCTATAAGTTTTCAATTCTTTTTACTTTCAGAGGGTAAGAGCAAAGGAAGGGGAGGCCAAAGGTTTGGAATAGCCATGGACATCGTTTTTTCTTGGAGATAGAAGGAAGAAATTCAGAGTATGCCTCAGAAATTGAGATAATGCAGATAAACGAAATCTACAGATAATTTCTAATCTTCTCTTTTGTTACCAATCACAACATTTTCCAACAAACAAGTTTTTTTACAAAATTCAAACATGTAACAAAAGGCTTTTACCTGGCCACATTCTACTCACTGGTAAAGATCTCTGGTCAAAGTAAGAAACTATGAATTTGCAGCAAGTGTGCATATCCAGTATGTGTATATTTCTCATATTATTGCAGGCAGAAAATCATATCCCATTTAGTAATCTAGCAGCCTTCCAGAAACCCACCCTCAAAAACTCCAGAACTCTCAGATAATGGTTAAAGGCTTAGTCTATGAGCTCAGACAGATATGCTTTACATTCTGGCTCATTCACTTACTGTCTTGTATAATCAAGAGCAAAATAACCTCTCTGAAACTTAGTTTTCTCATCTGTAAAATAGAGAAAATAATGCCTACCTTCAGTGTTGTGGCAGAACCAGATCATACTGGCTCGTGAGAGTCAACTGTTAAATTTTTAGGAAATTTGCAAGCCAGTTGTTAAACATGGCCATTATACCATATAGACTTATAACTAAATAAAATATATTAAAACAAATGTAAAAATCTTCAAAAATTATTTCCTAATTATTTTTCTACTATTTTTTATTATCTATGCCTGGAATCAATAAATTACAGCCATGGGCCAAGTTTGGCCCCCTACCTGTTTTGGCATAGCTTACAAGCTAAGGATGGGTTTACTTTTTAAATGGTTTAGAAAAAAATAAAATAATACTTAATTACACTTGAAAATTATATAAAATTCAAATTTCAATGTCCATAATAAAGTTTTATTAGATACTCATATTATTACATATTATTTATGGCCACTTTAGTACTAGTATAGCGGAGTTAGTAGTTGCAACAGAGAACATATTGCCCACCAAACCTAAGATATTTACTATCTAGCCCTTTACTGAAAATGTCTGCTGGTCCCTGATCTATGCTCTTGAGGTTATTCCTGGTCCATTGTGTCTGTATGGGTCTGCATCTCTCTCCAACTGAATTTACATCACATTGACAGTTTGAAACCTGACTCAGTGGGAGTATTTACGCCACAGAAATTGTTAACTGCAACAAATCAAAGTATTTCTCTCTCTCTCTCTCTCTCTCTCTCTCTCTCTCTCTCTCTCTCACACACACACACACACACACACACACACACACACACACACACACACACCAGAAGCCAGTATTTAAACATTTACTAGTATACCACTATGTATTTCATAAGGTTGTTGAAGGGAAAAAATGAGATAATGAATATCAAGTTTCGGGTTCATAAGTGGTAGCTATTTTATTATAGTATTTGTCATAAAAGACAGTTTATTCTTTTGCATTCTTTGGATCAGTAGTCTTGGAAATTTTGCTATTTTTAGTTTATCTCTAAAATATTAAAATACATTCAGCTTTTGGGTAATTTTGTAATCTTGCCTACTTGCAGTTAACTATGGTATAATCTTCTCAAATATGGTCTCAGGGTAATTTATGTTAGCTATCTGCCTCAATTGAGCAAGAACAGATTGAGTGAAAGGGAAAGATAGTTGTACTTGAGTGAAGACCTGAAAGAAGCAGAAGAGAAATAAGCCTAAAGTCACAAACTCATGGCAAAGTAAACTTCCCTCCCTTTTCCTGACAATACGTCATTGAGCCATCATGGCAATTCATTTATTTATCAGGTACCCATACTGTGCTGGCTTAGGGGATACAGAAATGACAGAATAGAGTCTCTGCTTTGAAATGTTCACAGTCTAATAAAGGAGACATAACACTCATGTGCAAATAAATACAATACAGTATATTGAAGTCCAACAGAGGTGTGGGGCCGCATCTAGTGCTATAGAAGAAAGGGTGAACTTGGACTTGAATCTTGAAGGATAAGAACATACTTGCTAGGTTGGGTGAAATGAGGAAAGTAAAGGGAAGATATTCCAGGGTAGGGAAGAGTATGTGCAGTGACTGAGAGGCAAAATTAGAAGGATTTGTTTAGGGAAAGTGCATCAACTGGCATGGTTCTAACTAACATTGGGTGGCTGTAAGGAAGTGATAGATAAAATGGAGAGATGGTATGAATTTGAGAGAAATTGAAGACATTGAATTGCTAGGACCTGTTCAGGAATATGGAGGCTGGTAACAGAGGAGTAATGAAAGAGTTCCAGGTTTCTGGCTTAACTAGGTGGGAATAAAGGCCATGATTGAGAATAATGACTTGATGACGGTTGATAGCAACTACTTACTAAGTGCTTACTATGTTTCCATTTTGTAGATAGAAAACTGAAGCTAAAAAAGATAAGTAGTTCTAATTAGCAAAACTTGAAGGCAAGACTGAAAGTCCTTGTTTTATCCACTCTACCAACTTACTTCTCAAATATGTAAGAGAAATAATATTTGGGAAAGAAGGCAATGAATTCAAAGCGTAGAGAGTTTAGGATACCTGTGGGACATTAAACTGGTGATACTCCCTAAGCAGTGCAAAATACAAAATATTAAGGGAGATATCTGGGTTGTAGATAGAGACTACAGATATCACTGGACTGGTGGTAGCTCAGCTTGTTGTCCACTGCCTTCAAAACAAGCAACCCTAGTGAATTAATCAGTAGCATCACTTGCCCAAACTTGGTCACTCATATTACTTTATATGTGGTTAATACTTCAAGGTCTAACTGTACTGTCATACACATATCTCAATTGATCCTCACAGCAATTCTACTTTAATAAGTAAAAATGATATTATGGCCCCACTTACAGATAAAGTGCCCAGCCTAAGATGACCATTATAACAGAGGATAGTGCCAAGATAGATACTTCTGACTGCTACTCTCTACCATAAGGGTTTTTGCAGTTTTCTCTACCCAGACTAAATTTTAAAAGAAGCAGCTACAAATATAATCTCAAGTACAGATATTCTACAGATATTTGAATTTCGAGTTGAAGAGAAATAGTGGGAATATGTATTTTCAAAGAGTGGTAATTATGAACAACTTATTGGGAACAGAACTCCAAACCATTTTTTCCTCCCAGAAAATCATTCATTTTTGAGCTTACAGTTAATTGAGCAATATTCTTTCATTGTATCATTCTCTACAACTCAAAAAATTACAATTCAACATCTCTAAAGAATTGGCAGAGATATTTGCTTATTAGGTTACTTAGTCATACTTCTGTCTACTAACCAAATGTTGTTACTTTTCTTTTTCCCTTTTTGGGACATAGGCGGACAGACTTCTTTGACTGTAACAAGCAGCAGAATTTTACTTGATGCAGATTGCTGAAATTCATACCTTTGTGGGCATTGCTAGTTTCGACAGCAAGGAGAGGTCAGAGCCCAGCTACATCAACTTAACAATGATGATGCCTAAAAGTTACTAGTTTCATATCTGCCTGCCACTGTGTCAGCTGAAGCAGAAACTAGCATCTGCTCAGGGCTTAAGAAAGGATTTGAGGTACAGTAGAGCAACTCAAGTCTCAGATCACCATCACTTTTCTTTCTCTCATTTTTTATCTGAGTTGCTCCCAATTAGGGGCAATCTGTTACAGTGTGCTCATAACAGCCTCAACTACAGGAGAGTAATGATGGATTATCTTTAAGGTAAGGAACCATGTTTTGTTTACTATTGTATTGCATGTGCCTTACCAAGTACCTGACATGTAATAGTTGCTTAATAATTGCTTGTTGAAGGAATGAGTAAATGAATGAAAACAGTGGCCTAAGCTGGGGAACTTCATCATCATCTGGACACCTTCTGACTCTGACCTTGTCAATTCCCAGCTGTGGCTATGGTTACTCTTCGGTTTTCTAGTCAAAATCAGCATATCTGTCTCCTGCCTACAGTCATACTAGGCCTCACACGTAAGAGACTCAATTAAGGCCAGAGGTATGTTTCAGAAATGATAGAGTTCATTCGGGATGCAGTCATGAGTCAAACATCTGGTAGCAAGCAAAACGCATCAATTAAAATTGTTGCTGCCTAGAGATAAGTATTTCCCAACCTGAGCTACCCATTGGAATCACTTGGGAATTTAAAAATCCTAGTGCCTGGGTCTCAACCCCAGAGAGTGTTGATCTGCGATGTGGCCTGGTCATAACATTTTTAAAGCTCCCCGTCTGATTCTTATGTATATTCACAGTTGAGAACTACTGTTCTAGGACCCCTTGTTGTTCATTGCTGGATCTCAGAAGCCAGGTCTCAGACAATATTGTTCCCTCATATTCTCTACAATGGCCAGTATTCTAAACTAAGAGCATATCCTGGCAATTGGATCAGAAAGAGTCCCTGTCCACAAGCAAATCGGCAGTAGTATGTAGGATGACAAGTGCTGTGATGGGGTGAGCTGCAGACTGAATGAGAAAGAGCACGAAGTACAGGGAGCCATAGAGTACCTCAAAGAGGTATATGCCTAACTGGTGAGGAATTTGGAAAGAGAATGAATTTTTCTGCTCAGTAAGACAATTTTAATTACATTTCCTTCTAAACAACTGATACTCTATGTTCAGGTGGTCGAAAAACTGAATGGAAAAGCCTATGGCTCTGTGATGATATTAGCGATCAGTGGAAATGATTAGCACATTGGCAATTGCTTAACCACTGTACTCAGCAGTGGTTCAACCATTCATTCCATTGCCTTAGGTTCATCTGCAGTCGAAAACCTGAAGGAATTATCACATACTACAGGTAAATAAATTTCTAAAAATGTATATTTTAGAGCATTTGCTTTAAACTTGAATATTCAAAGCATAACCATGAAACCTAGGTTATGTCAAGAGATTACACGGCTAAATGGAAATAGAAAATGTTTTCATAAGGAAAAAAACAAAATCATTGCTAAAATTTTCCTAAATTTTGATGACTTTTTTTTTTTTTTACATTTTACTTGGTGCCAATTATATATATCCAATGAAAATAATATTATTATAATTTCTTTGTTAAACCAACCTGATCATGTATAATTGGGAAGCTAAAAAATATGTTTAGGATTAAATGCAATAACTTATAAGAGCACATACAATATTGTAAGATACATACCCTTTTTTGTTCTAAATGAAGCACAGAATAATTTTGTCTCATAGTCTTTATATTCAATAAAAATGGGTATGCTGAATTGAAAATTGATAGGTTTTATGGAATTATTTTTTAAAACAAAGTTTTCAGAATGTAAATGTAAATATGTAGCAATGTAGATAGTAATTAACCTAGATTATCTAAGAATTATCTTCATTAAAAGATTAGTCAATAAATATTTATTAAGTTTTTACCACGTATGAAGTACAGTTCTAGATCCTAACCTTACAGTCACGAAGAGAACAAACAAAACCACTCCCTTTGTGCTGCTCACCAGGCAGTTGTACAGAGTGCCATGCAAAGCAAGTGAAGCACAGCTCCTACTTCCTCCAAACTTACCCTCTTATGCAAAGAAACGTTGTTGGAAAAAGATTAACTTTTATTTTTTGTTTTATTCGATACATTTTATTAGCTAACATCCCGATTATGTATTTCAGGAAGTTTAAAGTTCTTTATTCCAGATAAATCAAACTCCAATAGCATAACTGATGTTTTCGGTAGAATTTCCTCTGGAACTGGAGATATTTTTCAATAACATTTGCAAGTCAGAATTTCCTCAATGTTATACTTACAGTTGAGATTGAGGTGAGGGAGAAAGAGATATAGATGAATTAAGTAAACTGCCTACATGCTTTATGGCATCACCAGAGCCAGGCTTTATTTTTACATGTTTGTACTTCTCAGCCCTAAGAGCCATTTTCTGTAATTGCTACTCAACTTTTCAAAGTCTATAAACAGAGCTTGCTTCTTCCTCTTGGCTCAAAATGGGGGTGGGGTGGGAATGCTGTGGGGGTAAGGCCCAGAAAATAAGAAACAGTGTATTTAGTTTTAGTTTCATAATAACTTTCCATCAATCAGAATCCATTTTACTTTTGCCTCTTCAAAAACTTCTCTGAAGCTCCTGTCTCATATAAAAAGAATCAACGATTTCATTAAATTCTAAAAATTCTTAAACAGCTCTTTGCCACAATTTACTTGATTTTGCTCACAAAACTTCCTCTAATCAAGCCAGTTTTCAAAAGGGCCACATTTTTCTTCTTTCTGACCACTTTAAAGATATTTTTAAAGTAACTGAACAAAAATTTCTCTGCTGTCTCCTCACAGATGGTAAGTGAACCTGCCAAGTTAATGGCTTCATGTGAACAGTGAAGCCAGTAAACAATTCTTAGGAAATATTTAACACAAAGATTATATGTACACAGTAAAAGCAATAACCAGAATCCATCATTAGAAATGAAAAAATATGAATTACAAATGACGATATATATTGTAGATTAGATTACAATCGGCATTTCTGAATAATCTTTTTACTCTGTGATTTCCTCTCTAATAATATGAAATAAAACATATGTTTTAAATAGTAAAAGAAAAACAACAAAATATTATTCATATGGCTCAAATTGGCCTTATGTTCGCAAATGTGGCCACCTCTCCCCACTTGTTTTTATGTCTTAAACCCCACTAAACTGTGGACTATTCTAAATCTGATCCTCTACAACACCTCAGGGTCCAGCACAGAATGTGGCATAGTAGTCAGCAGTCATTAAACTGATTTTAGCAAATAATCCACAATGTCTTTGCTGTCACCCACCAATAAAATTTTATATGCATTCCAAGTCTGAGCAATTTTACAATGCGTTAATGTATTTATTTAATAAATATAATTTTTCAAAGTTATTTACAGACTTGTATCCATTGTGAATACATGATGATTAAATGCTGTTAAATTGACACTTGTATTAGCTATAACAAAATATTTTATATCTACTGTATTTATATAATATACTATATTTTGCTTTGGCAAAGTATTTTTATGTGAAAAATGATTTATGTAAATATAGTACATATAAGAATTAAATGATTTTTATTTTTTCCAATTCACTTTTGTCACAAAAGTTAAGAAAAAAGATGGAATGATTCTGCATACACTAGAAAATTTCACCTATGTATTCTCTTGAATAGCTTGAAAGTACAGGTGAGAATGTTAAACCTCACCATCAATTGCAAAGCACTGTGACTGTGCATAACAATGTAGGCAATGACACTACCTTTCTAGTCATATGGCAGACCAGTGGTCTCCCTGAGATTGTATTATTTGATCCTGATGGAAGGAAATATCCCACAGATAATTTTATCATCAATCAAGCTTTGTAGACTGCTCGTCTCTGGATTCTAGGAACTGCTAAGGTAGGTGTCATGACAACATATAGTCATGACTTTTAGTTGAATCACATAATTAAATGCACTGTATAAAGGAAATCCCATTCTGATATATCAAAATTTTACTTTAAATTTATGAGAGCATTTTGTGAATGTTAAAAATTTAAGGGGAACAACTAAGGTATGTTCAAAACTTTAAATAATGGATACCAAAGCCTTCTCACTTCAACGGTAGAAATTAATATTTATGTAGTAAAAATAATCTTTTTGCTTACTTTTCTTTACAAAATCCACATAGAATACTTATCTATACACTTGACATTCTGGGCAGAGTGAACAGCACACAGAAAGATTCAGAGAAAAAGAATATGGCTCTTCATAAAATTACAAGTAGTTTTTGCTGTGGATGAACAACCAAGTAGCATGTAATGTGGAGATTTAGTAGAAGAAAAGTGGAGGGCATGCTGAGGCTAGACAGATAAACAGGAGCCAAAGCCTGTTTAGCAAGAGCTCTGTAGAGCAGTAAAGGAAGCAGGAGTTTGAATACTAAAGGGAACCAGAAAATGTTCTAGGCAGGGTGGTGAATTGATCAGATCCACTTTTTCACTGCCTGAATGCAGTCCCTCCTCGACAATGGAGGCCCTCCTTCCCTTCAGATTACTATAAACAGCCTTTGCTCAGCCTCCCTGCCTCTGGGCTAGCATCCCTCCAATCCATTCATCACCGCTATCAGGTGATCCTTTTGAAGCACAAATTGGATCAAATCTGTCTCCTATTTGAAACTCTTTGGTGGTCTCAGGATAAGATTTATGTGGTTACTCTTATATACCAAGTCCAAGCTTATCTCTGGCTTCTGCCCAAGCTTATCTCTTAACCCTTGTCCCAAATACCCTGGCTTCTGCTCCTACTTAACTTTTCTCCAAACTCATCACGTTCTTTTCATACCTGTGCATAAGAGCCAAGGACACTTTATCCAATTCTTGCTGCCCTTGCCCAACCTCTTAGTCTCTATTGAAAGACTTACTACACTCATGGAGAAGTTTTTGATGCGGCAGTTCCAGCCATGTATCTGTTATTAATGTTATAATTACAATCAATCAATCAATTATTTTGATCCTTAAATTGTGACTTCACTGGAAAATGGTAAAACATATGAATCCCAGTGAAGAAGGCTGGGTAAGGTGTGGTGGCATCTTAACTTTCCATACTGAGTCACACAGTAACCTATTGTTTTCTTTCTTCTTCCTCCTGCTCAATTGTGTTCCTCCTCTTTCAGGATTCTAGAAGGAACAGCCGCAGGAATGAAGAAAAAAGGAGTATTTATGTACAGTTTAATCAAAAGAATGAATTTCTGCTACATTGTAGTTTAAACGTTTTTCTTTCAGACATTCTTTTGCCGGTTTTCCCCCAGGCAGCCTAGGCAAAAGAGAATGGTATTTAGCAATATTTCTAGAAATTATTCAATGTAGACATTGTAAAATCCTGACCTATTAAAAATAGTGTTCCTTTTCTTGGTCCCTAGTAGTGTATATGGGTTTTTTCTTGGTCCGTAGTAGTGTATATGGGTTTTGTTGCTTGATATTTCTGGGCATTGGAGGTGGTGAGTGGGGAGTGGAGGGAAGGAAAGATACTGTTGACTTTTAGTCCAGGTTATCCACATAAATCATAATTGGTCACTGAAATTTGCTGTAAGTTTCTTTGTTATATAAAAGGAATAAAAATATTGAACCTCCCTTTGGTCGAAGGGGCTCTGATTAATAGTTGCAAAGTACTCTGAAGCTTTGAAACACTGTTATCTATATCTTCTAAAATGTGAATCAAGATGTGCCCTTCCCCACAAATGAATTCAGGGTGTAATTCCCTAAAGAGGTACCTAACACTATAAATGGGTTATGTTCTGAGAGCTATGTAAATATTGAATTTAGTTATCACTTAGCCAATATTACTATTCCTGACACTCTTTTGTAGTAATTTAGAAAATGCAACATCAACAAAACAAGAACAAAACCCAAGGAGCTTAGATTTATGCTTTTAAAATTAAGGGTTGATTTTTTTTCTTCACATTTGACAAAACAAAAAGCCTTTGTTTTGCAGTCCGGGCTCTGGACTTACACACTGAACGATACCCACCATTCTCTTCAAGCCTTGAAAATGACAGTGACTTCTCACGCCTCCCACTCAGCCATGCCTTCTGCTATCGTGGAAGCCTTTGTAGAAGGAGCCAGCCCACTTTCCCCATCCCATGATGATTTATGCAAATGTAACTGCTACAATTGAGCCAGAGACAGAACATCTTGTTACATTGAAATTTTTTGATGATGGAGCAGGTAATATGGAATGTTATGTCATTTTTCATGTTCTCAAGAGCTGTCATGATGCTGCAGTATCAATATTATGCTTATCTTTTAAATTCTTTCAATTCAATTATTTTTCTCATCCAATCTTATGAGATTCTCAATTTCTCACAGAATCACTGATACGCTAAGTAGCTATAGGTCTCACTGCACCAGGAAAGCAGATGTGAACTTGAGAAAAGAGTCTCCATGAGGCTCCTCAGAGGGACTGTGCATGAGCAAAATAGTGGGAGAAAGTTGCTTGACACCTAGGTCTTGGCTTCCACTTGTCCAGTGACAATGGCCACACTCACATAGTGAGGTCATGCAGAAAGAGTTTCTAAATTCCTGTGACATACCCATATTCTGCTAAGGTTTATCAGCTTTACTATTCACAGAAATAATCAGAATGAACAATTAAAATAGCAAATGAAAACCCAAGAAGGGGGATGCAATGACAGTAAATCCATTTTTAATTCTTGAACCCAACTGTGAAGAGAAAATTGGAAACTGAACTTGTAATTCATGAGATGACCCTAGACTATTCTTTAGCCAAGTGCCTTTTACATATGCGGTTTGATCACAAGAAGGTCAAGCCAGCAAGCCTAGTGGAATCAAGATAGAGATTTTCCCACCACTGGAAAAATAAAGTAAAACAAAACAAAATCCCCCTTCAAAGTACTCCTTTTGCACACAGTTCAGAGCCTTCTCACCATACATCGCAAGATGGGCAAACAGGAGCACCTGGGCTCTTTCTGGCTAACTTTTTTGACTTTTAACCTTTGTCATTTTATCTTTCCTGCTCTACTTTTTCCTAAGCTAAATTCTCAGAATGATAATGGACCTCAAAGTCTATGTTAGCAATCCCAAGTGTTTGATTTACTAATAAAATCATATTCCTTCCCTCTTGTTTCAAAGATAATTTTTTTCAAGAGTCTTAGGTTTGGCAACCCATTAGTATCTTTGCCATGGCAAGCCTGTATGACATTTGCGAAACAAAAGTTCATTTAAGGGATTTTAGTTCAGGTCTACCTTAGAGGGATACCAGAGAAGTCCTCTTGTTTTGTTTGGGATGGATCCAACTGAACTTCTCATGATTGCTCATCCATGGCCACACCTTTCATTTTTTTGTATTTGATCCAAAAATGCACTTTGCAGAATGTTCCTGGTCTACAGGAGAACAAATATAGCTAACTTAGGAAAGATCATTTGAATAACCAATAACCTTTTATATTTATTCCCTGGAACCATTTTATCTATTTGATGTCTAAATTTATACTCTAATGAAAAAGATAATTAAAAAGATTGTTTAAGCACAAAGTGGAAATTTAGATGTTTCCCCCCAATACTTACCGCACATGTATTGTCCAATACTTATTTTTATATTGGAAACAGTATTTATCTGCTAAATAAAATTAATAAACAATAATAAAATTTATACATGTAGAATCTTTTATAATTTAAAATGTACTTTCTCATACACACTTTCAAAAAATCATCACAACAACCTTGTGAGATGTTATCATTTTACAGATGAAAAAACTGAGGCTCATATCGATTATTTATTTCACAGCTACTAAGTGGCAGAGCCAGACCTTAAAACCAAGTTCCCTGACACTCAAGCCAGTGTTCTTTCTCATTTCTTTCTGATTCAGTGATTAAAAGAGGTGGCAGTGGTAAACGTGCCATAGAGAGATTTCCCTTAATCATTTGTCAACAAAGATAGAACTTATAATTAAAACACTAAATACCACGATTTGATTTCTTTCCAGTACATAAAAACAATTTCTAAACCTACTATGATCATAAGTTGCTTAGCACTTTTTATTTTAATTAAATATACTCATACTTTTCTCATGTTAAGGAGCAGCCCTACCTCTGCAGGGGAGACTCTAGTGCACTTACTTTAGTGATGGTACAAAGCTAGAGTACGAGGCTGCATGTGTGGTATGAGAACTGAACTGACTGTAAGAGGACAAGCTGCTTGCCCAGTGTGGCCACCTGCACTTGAACAGTGAATGTGATCTATACTTGGGCTAAGCTGTATCTCCCTGCTGCCTTGGAATCTAGGCCTTCCTGTCATTCAGTCATGCACTTGGTTTGGAACTGAGCTGCTCTCTGAGGTTCAACACAAAAGGAGAGAAGTCTAGCACTGTCCATGCCTTTAGAATGCCTCCTGAAGCAAAGCGCAGTGGATGGAACCAAAACCTGTCAAACTCCAAATTGGTGAGCTCCTTCTAATCTAGAACAATATTTCCATACACCCGCTGAGGAAATGAAATGATTTCACATTATTTTATCAACTAGTAAAGGTTTTTTTCATCAGGAGTTCTTTTTTTTTTTTTTAAATCAGGCTTCAGGATGTTCATAAACCCTTTAAAATTATGTGAATATATATCTCTGTTATGTATTTCCTGGGGAAAGAATAGCTTTTATCTCAAAAGGATTTATGACTATAAACAAACTAAAAAATGTGCTTGGTTTCTGTGAAAAACTAGTATTATTTTCAATAACAAGAAAGAGAGCTCTAAAGGTGATTATTAAATGCTCTATTTGCACGAAAGCAGGCACAACTCATTCACCTTTAAAAAATAATTTTTCATAGGTTAAAGAACCACATGGAGAAAGTACAGAGCCATTGGATTTTTAAACACCTGATAATATCATAAATAGTTATGACCATAACAGCATACACTAAAAGGGGTAGAATAAGAAGAGCAAATCTTAGTTTTAATGATTTAATTAAATATTAGTAATCAACTATGATGACAAATGTTGACACTAATTTTTATATATATAGAGAGAGGTGCTGATGTTATAAAAAAAGGTGGCATTTACTAGAGGTATTTTTTCTCCTTTGCTGTAAGTGGTAGATACAGCTTGAAAGTGCTTGTCAATCACACTCCCAGCAAAAGCACCCTAGCCCACTCTATTCAGGAAGTCATGCTATCTATACACCAGGTTACATAGTAAACGGTAAGAATCGTTAGCACTGTTATCTGAATAACATCATTTAATGTATATATCACTGATGAGTGTGTGTTTGTGTGCACGTGTGTGTATGTACATGTGTATTAAATAGAGAGGAAGAGAGATGCTAGTGACAGAGATGGAATTCCAACTCTTTATACTTAAGTCAGTGAATGATTTGTTGACTACCTTTTCAATCCTCAAAGATTCATGGTTGTAGACAACAAAAAGATAATTCCCACAGATTTCTCCTACCTTCATTTTAGTCATATATTTTTACTTCTTTCTTGTGACTGTTTCATTAGAATTACTAATAGATAAAGAGATTTATTGAGTTTTCTCAGTTCCAGCTCCTGCATTTCCTGTACAGAGGTTTAAGAAAGAGGCAAATAGCAGTTAGCAATTGAAAGAAGGACTCAAATAGCCCAAATAATCTACACAGGAAATAAGTTCCTAAAAAAAATATGAGTTTGAATATTACAGACAATTGAGCCCTTCCTAAAAATGTTGTCTTCCTTCAAGATAAAAGTGCCAAATAAAAGACACACACATCTTTTTAACACCATTATTATAGTTCCTGATGGAAAGCAGTGGTTAAAATATAACAAACAGAATTATGCTATAGTCTTTTAAAATTATTTTTCTTTTTTTTTAAGAACATTTCTAAGCATTTTTATTTGCAGAACTGCAGAATCTTCATGAATGCTTTTCATGTATTTTGGCAGCTATTACTAATGATTTTGTATCTAGATAAAATACTTAATTCCTAAATAGATATTTCCCCTTTCATTTATACATCAAATATTTTAAAGGCCTACTTGGTGACAGACTTTGTCCTAGGAACTTGGGATACCAGGTAGGATAAAATTCCATTCAAGGAGCTTGCAGGCTACCGTCTGGTCTAAGTATCTTTTTAAAACCCATGAGTTTAAAGGGTGAAAATATCAGCACCTAGTGTATAGTGATTCAACTGTACTTTTATCTGTGTACTTCATATAGGCCCTTGATAGCACAGAACGAAAAAGCTTTCCCTAGTCATGTCTACTATACATAACATTTATGTTAACAGCTCATTTTCAGGTGATGACCTTGAGCATACACTTCCCTGAAAAATGGGAACTGCTCTAGTTTCACATCAGCAAATCTCCAGACATGGCACCATCTACTCCTTTCCTCCCCTCCTCAAAGGCCAGTGTCTTCACTGGGTTTGCTGTGGATGCCATCCAGCCTGCCCATCCAGGAGCCTTGAGAACTCTGCCTTGTATGTTCCTGTTCTACTGATCTCTCTGAGTAGCATTCAAGCATGATTTGTTACTTACCATATTAATATATTTTCTTGTTGGTCCCCCTTCAGCTACCATCCATCTTTCCAGTCCCTATTGTCTGGTTCCTTGAAATATATCTAAACCTGCTGACTATACTTTCTCACCTCCAATTTACTACTCTGCTCACTGCAATTGGACTTCCATCCAGATCACTCTTCCATCCAAATCACTCCATTGGAATTGCCCTGGCCCCAGTCACCAATGACCTCCCTGCTGTTAAATCCAAAGGATACATTTCGGTCCTCATTTTACATTAGCAGTATCTGATATGGCATTATGATTTCTTCTTTGTCATTTCCTGGTTTCTATGATACCACACTCTCCTGATTACCTCTTATGCTCTGGAATATTTGATCAGGCTCTTTTTCTAGCTTCTCCTTTTCTATTGTTGCCATTTTTCAGAGCTCAGCTAACCTTATCACTGTACTATTTGGAGCCACACTGCCTGGGTTGGAAACGTAGCTCCTCCATCTACTAGCTGTAAGATTTGGGGTTAGTTAGTTAGCTTCTGTATACTTCAGTTTCATCATCTATAAAAATAGGGGTAATAATTGTACCCTCTTCATAGCATTGCTGGGAGAATTAAATACACATGAGGTACTTAGAAAAGTGCCTTGCACATAGTGAGCCAGGCACTCAATCAATGCAATTTATCATTACAGTTGAAATTCTTATTAGGTAATCTCAATCACATGGCTTTATTAATATTTACATGACTATAACTTCCAAATTCATAACTTCAAAATTATTAAATCCAACTAAAACCTCTTTTTGAGCTAAATATCCATATCTAACTGGCTCCTTGACATTTTCAACTGGATGTTTTACGGGAATCACAAACCACGTAACTTAAATTTTGAGTCTCCTTCACTTTAGCCAACTTCTCCTCCCAGTTGCTCATTTTAAAACCTGGGAGCTATTTTTGTTGTTGTTGTTGTTCATCAGGTTTTTCTCTTCACCATTCCTTGTTCAAATTCGCCATCAGCTTTTGCTGATTTTATCGCCAAATACATCTCGAACTGCCAGCTTCTTGCCTCCTCTCCACTGCTGTCACCAGCCCAAACGGCCATCTTTTCTCATCTGAACTGTTGCAATGGCTGTCTCAATGGCCTCATTGCTTACTGGGCTTGAATTCATTCTTCACTGAGAGCAGCCAGAGTGACCTGTTAAAGAGCAAATGTGATCACGTCAGTGCCCTGCTTCCCCACAGTCTGTAAGATTAAACTCTGAAACCACTACAATGGCCAGCAAGAACTTCTCTCCTGTCTCATCTCAAACTGCTCTCCTCCTTGCTTTAATTAAGTTTTTCTAACTTGCAAAGCTCTTCCACACCTCAGAGTTTTTACCCAACCTCTTTCCTCTGCCTGTGATATTCTGACCTCTACTCTTTACCAGGCTGACTTTTAGGCATATTTTAGGAAACTTTTAAACATAACTTCCCTGATAATACTAAATTATGTACCTGTGTTATCTTCTTTCATAGAACCCTGTCCTTTTTCCCTTCCTATGTTAATCACAATTTGTAAATATATGTCTATTAATATGACTATAAATTCCATGAGGTATACTGCTTTGTCCATGATTACTGGCACAGCATATGACCTCGAAAGAGTTATTGAATGAATGGATGGATGAGTGAATTGTTGAATAAATAAACTCAGTTATTCTAAAAATGTAGTAAAGAAAAAAGGTTGGAGATGTGAAACAATTAAAACTGTGGGATGGAATATGGCCCTTGTAGAGTAGAGATAGCTGTAACTTAGATATCAGGAAAAAAATGATTCCTACTCTGGCTTTAATTCAGCTTTTTGATCTTTGGCAGGTTGCTTAAATTCTATTCGCCTCAGTTTTCTTATATGGAAAACAGGACTAAAACTATCTCCTTCGTAAGGCATTGTATAGAAGAAATGAGAAAACACATATGAAATCAGCAAAGGAAGAGAAAGTATGCCCAGTGAGTTTCCTGGACTCCTGGGTTTGCATTGTTAGAGACTTCTCCACCTTCTTATTTGGAGTAAGAAGCCACAAACACTCCCTCCCATCTCTATTTGAAGATAAGAGTGGTGCCTGCTACCTAGTATTTTCTCTTTTCCTCCACTGCTTCAGAAGCACGGTAGTGTGCTAAAAGAGGCAAACTGAAGCTCAGACTCCCATTACTACTGGGAACTATTCTTTTTCAAGAGCCCCAGTAATTTCATCTATACCACTATGTATAGAAAGAGTAGAAAGAAAGTCAATGTGTGGAATTAGTGGTTATTTATGGCTTGAAAAGACTATATAGAACCAAATGGGATTACAGGATAGAATTGATGTCATAAAGGGCATTAGAAGGGAATAGAGAGACCTTTACTCTACTAGAGAGACCTCACTGATGAGCAAAAAGATTGAAGCAGATCAAACTTGTTATACTATAAAAACTTCAGACCAAAAAAGATCTATGGAAGGAATAGTTGGATGTGTATTAAGTTGCTGAGATCACTCAGCAATGGTAAAATTGGCCAACTAGCCACAAGTAGACCAAGTAACCATGAGTAGATCAACTAGCAAGAAGGTACCCTTTTAACTCAAGCATGTGCTTTCATTACCTTTTTTTTTTCACAAATTGTTGTCTAGGAAGGTGTTTTCTTCACCACTATGGCCAGAGAAGCAACGGGTGTATGTCTCTGGCTTTACAATTATTAAAATGTGACTATATATTCTTAAAAACCTTGTTAGCAATAAATAAACATCTCACATATGCATAAACATATTAGTATATATCCAGGTACCAGCTCTTCACCTTACACAATATCCTAGAAAAGATGACCAATGACATGGAATAAATAAAACATTACCAGATCACCATTATGTGTGGAAATATACAGATGACCCTTGAACAACACAGATTTGAACTGTGTGGGTCCACTTATGCACAGATTTTTTTCAATACAGTTGACCCTCCATATCCACAAATTTTGCACCTATGGATTTAACCAACCGTGGATCAAAAACAGTATTTTCACTTTTCCAATCGAGGTTTCTCAACTGCTCATTGCAGTTACTGTTTTTGATCTATGGTTGGTTGAAACTATGGATACCATAGTTAAGTTTTAGAGGAGTCAGCAGTTATATGTGGTTTTTGACTGTGCGGGGGTCAGTGCCCCCAACCCCTGCATCATTTAAGGGTCACATGTATATGGACTAGGCATTATGGAAATGGGTTACTTGGTTTTTATTAAAAGTCTGGGGTAAATAATTGTTAAAATTGAGTACCAAGCATGATATGTATCCTGCCATAAAGTTAATTTCCTTTATGCTTTTTCCAAAAATTAAAGTGAGAATATATTATTTACTAGCCAACTACTATGTGCCCAGCACAATGCCAAACACTATATAGATATAATTTAAGATGGTCATTGTTCTCCAAGAACATATAATCCTGTAAAGAAAAGAGGCACAAAATGGTCAAAAAGCCATTTTTATGGTTCAGACTGTGGGAGCTACAAGTATTAAAAGGCTGTCGAGACCAGTGTAGGTGAGAGCAGAGAGAGGCCAGGTTCTAATGCCAGGGGCCAGTGCAGGGCTTTTAGAGTGGAGCCAGACCATGAAAAGCACCACTCTTAGAGCTCCTTCCCAGCCCTATCTTCCCTATCTGCCTAACAGCCTGACTTTCACACTGCTTCCTGTGACATCTTCATCATGTTCCTATAGAACCAACATTCAAAATATTATCCTTAAAAATTCTTTCCTTCCTGAGTAAATATTATATTATACTATACTATACTATACTATACTACACTATACTATACTATACTATACTATACTATACTATACTATACTATACTATACTATATCATATCATATATTATATTATATTATATTAT